TTTAGGTACACTCTATACAAGTGAAAGCTTACATAAATCTCGGGAACATATTTTTACAGTCGACCTTGAAAAAACTTTAAATTCTTTCAAAGGCATTTTATAACGCATGAACAGATTGCTGTGTAGATAAAATTGCTCGTATTTGATTAGGAATTAAATTTTATTAAAAAATAGGAATATTTTATATAAATACCGAAAAGTCTTTCTTAAATATCCTAACTTTTTTTAAAATTTTAATTTTATATCTGTGAACACTGTTGTCGTATTTTAATTGATGTGTGACTTTTAATGCTTATTGAGGTGATCACTATATTCCTCCTAAATATATAGAAGTGACTGATGTTACACATTGTGAAATAAAGCCGTTCAACATATTATGCAATGCACTGCAATTGTGTTAACGTTAAGAATGAACTTTATGTACTAGTGCGTCGACATACAATGACGGGGTAGATATCAAAGTAGATACGACGAGACAAGCATAGGAACCAAGGCGACACCAAAACAAATGGAAAGACAACATAGGCCGTAATCGCGCGTTAGACTATAAGAAACAATACATGTCACGCTTGATACAAATGTCTTCATTATTATTATTATTATTTTTTTTTTTTGATCCAGTAATAAAAAAGATTCCACTTGGTCCAGACAAAGCTAACCTGGTTGTCACATTATCCAGTCATTCTTTCAGGAGACACATTGTTACCTCCAATCTTTTAACAATTCAGCCACTGCTATTTGAAATACAGACGACTGACTAAAATGGCTCCATTGTAGTAAAATCTTTTCAAGTTCTTTCGTCTTAAATACTGCCTTAATTTGTTCATCAATGATGTCCTTTTTCATTCTTTCTGTCCAAATTACTACATGCATTTCATTAGGTATATCACCGAATACCTTTATAGTACCAAACGTGGCGATGTTTTTTGTTATGTTTCAAACAAAATTAACACTCATCGTCTTTGTGTGTATAACAGAAGTGTAGTTGTTATTAGCCTCATTCCTTTTATCTCGAAGTATTTAATTCGAGATACCGAGGTTCATTGTTGTTGGTATGATAAAGTGTATATGCTCACCGTTGTTGATGGTATCATTTTAAAATAATGAGGTTGGTGTGTTTGCACACCATTGTAGAAATGTCTATATCGACATAACGAAGTCGGTATGATATTTTCCTCTGTTCACTGTTATCGAAAGTACCATTTAAACATATCAAGATTGGCGTTTAATTTATGTTACATTCGTATGTTCACCGTTGTTGACAGTATCATTTCAAAATAACGAGGTTTGTGTGTTTGCACACCGTTGTAGAAATGTCTATATCGACATAACAAATTCGGTATAATATCTTCCTCTGTTCACTGTTGTCGAAAGTACCATTAAAACATAACAAGATTGGCGTTTAATTTGTGTTACATTCGTATGTTCACCGTTGTTGACAGTATCATTTCAAAATAACTAGGTTTGTGTGTGTGCACACCGTTGTAGAAATGTCTATATCGACATAACGAAGTCGGTATGATATTTTCCTCTGTTCCCTGTTACTGAAAGTTTAATTTCGACACAACGAGGTTCGTCTGTATAATTTATTAATATTTTCAATGTTGTTGAAAGAGCTACTTCCAGAACGATTCGAAACGACAAATGTAGTAAACAATTTAAAATAATCGGATGTATGAAACACTTTTCACAAGGGTCATAATCTTTCAACTTTCAAATATAAACAAAATGACTTTAAACAAAATTGTAATAATTTGTCTTCATAAATTTTATTAACTAGGAAGTGACTGATTGCCTAAAACAAGACATATGTATGGTCGTTTCTCGGGGGGAAAAAGGTTATAAGGCGTTTTTCATGTAAAGCCGCCAATGTTTTACATATGAAAAAGTCCTTTGTTTTCTGAGAAAGACGATTAAATAAAAAACAATTTCATTTTATTAATAAGCTGTGTTTTAAATAAAACAAGGTTACCGCGAGCGGTATATAATACGCCCGTCACACATTGAATGAGCAGTTGTTTGTATGATTGAAATATATGAAGTATTTGTGAATAATTGATATTAAAAGAGAAATCATTCAACATAACTGGTAGATCAATGAGTGCAATACAACATCATGGAACGCATGCATCGCATTAATGAAACCAAGGGTAATAACTCCAGTAATTACGGTCGGATAATGGCGGTTATCGAACTTGTCCG